ATTATTATTATTATCATTATTGTTATCATAATTATTATTACATCATCGTGATCAACATCATTATTGTTACCTCTGACACAAGGACTACGATCACAGAATTCACAGGATCAAACTCGAAAATGCATGTACACAAACAGTTTCTTTTTAGTTGGGACTCCTCCATTAACTTTTTATTTGTTTCAGTACACTAGTCCCAACATTTTATGAACGCCATCATGTCGATCCCGTGCTCTTTAACCCAAACAAACAACCTCATCTCGCAAAACAAAAATGTAACAGCCTTGATTTACTTGAAAACATCTCGTTCCGTAAGACACGGGGATGTTGTAAACGTCACATTTCCTTCTCCAAGAGGCGCATAACGGGTCGGGGTATGACATCAAAACCTCGTCCCTGGGTTGCCAAAGATGTGGAACTGTTGAGTAATTAGCTAGTTGCGTCCGACGCCTGCTCGTGTTATCAGCGAAACTGTGGAAAGAAATTTTCATGACTGCTCTTAATCCAGACAGCATTTATTTCAACCCCGTAGATTTTTCTTTCCTCTCACGAGAAACAAGCGAAGGAAAAGAAAAAAAGAAAAAGAAAAAAAACGACGGTACTGTACGGTAAAGCGGGCTCATCTCTACCTTCCAAATCTCGACCTGAGACTGGCGCGGCACTGGCGGGCGAGTTAGGGATAAAGATGAGTAGGAATTTGTGAGTGGATGGCTCGGTTAAGCCCTCAGGTTTGGTCTTACAACAGAAGGAAAGGCGGCGGTTGGCGATTTTTCTTCATGTTTCTGGTTCTCTTCTTTCTTTTCTTTTTGTTCCTGTACGCCTCAACGTGCTAGATTCCAGGGTCGAAGGCGTGTGTGTGTGTGTGTGTGTGTCGGTGTGAGGGGGAGGAGGTACGGGCTATGGTGAGAGAAAGAGAGAGACGGGAGGAAGAGAGAAAGAAAAGAAGGGTGATGGGGTAAAGAAGGATTGTGTGTGTGTGTGTGTGTGAGAGAGAGAGAGAGAGAGAGAGAGTGTGTGTGCTTCTTATAATGTGTGTTGTTAAGACGTCTCCGGGCTGTTCGGAGTACGTTAACTCCCTTCTTCGTATGTCGCGGGGTGTGAGAATAATGTGGGAATCTGTTTCTTTCTCGCTGGAATTTCGAATGGACTCAATGTGCGTCCAACGTAGGCACAGAATGATCTCTTTTCTTCCCACAGTGAGATGTAAATGAAATTTCGCAGTGTGAAGAGTCAACGCTAACGTTCTAGATCGAAACGAGACCGTGACATAGGATTTGTTTACATTTTAAAAGTTACACAGCACGAGTGTGGTAGAAGTGTAAATATTGTGTCAGAAACCGTGTACATCTAATTTTGTTCTTGTCACCGACGAGGAAGGGAGTGAGATCTGCTGTCATTTGGTGTGTTGGAGGTGGCGTGTGTCAGTGGCAGTGGCAGTGACAGTGACTGTGACAGTGTCATGACATCACGAACAGGATAGATAGACGGAGACAGATTTTTCAGTTTCATGTAAGTCAGTTTTGTGTTTGTGTGTTTGTATTTGTGTTTTCATTCACGTGTTTCTCTCTGATACCTGAGTGATTAATTCTGAGTGATATCTCAAGGTGTTCTGTCCAATGAATAGTTTATGTTTCTAGAACGAGACGATCACCATATTATAATTTCACTTATTGGTTTAGGGTTTTCTTGTTTCGTTTGAATGTTGTTTTGTTTATGAGTGAGGAATGGAGAGAAGATGAACAAGAAAACGGGTTCTCTGGACTGGGAAAACTGAATTGTGGAAATCAATTGGGATTCAGTAACTAGATCTATGCGTATGCATGTGCAATGTGTGGGTGAGTGTGTGTGTGTATGTGTTTGTGTGTGTGTTTGTGTGTGTGTGCGTGTGTGTGTGTGTGTGTG